AATCAATATATTAGTATGCTAATAGGTTACTATTAATACAAATAAGATTTTAATACATATATTTATTTCTTGACATAGAAAAAAAAATAATTATTGTGATATAGAATACCATACTAGGTGGAAGATGAGCCAAAGAGCGGTTCAATTGGTGGACCGGCAGGTTAATCGGACAACAACAACACTGGAGGTCGATGATGACCTCACAGAAAAGGAAGCTCACCAGCAGGTCGAGCTAAGACTTTTAGTTAGCTTGATAGAAATTCGACTTGGAGACAGACAAGTCGATAGCGCGACCTAAGTATCAAAGTCCATACATGAGAGATTAGAGCAATCTGGTTGATAGGGAACCGAGCTGGTCGCACAGTTAGACCATCTAATAAGGCATACTGATGTTAACACACTACATAAGAGATAAGAAAGAATATTATTAGGAAAAAAACCGCAAATGGATAGGACCACGCAGATTAACAGAATCAGGTAATTTGTGCACTGGGCAATCCAGTCGGGCAGTTTTGGACAACAAGGTAACACCTTTATATAAAGGGGTGAGGTATGATCATCCAAACTCTATACACTTTTATATGCTTACAAGTTATACAGTTACAGTTCATCGTCTTTTTCATAACATGCTGACTTGATCATCGAAGTCTCTACGTCTGGACCACTCCCGGTGTTGTTTTGCAAGTTTATTGATTCAGTATAGTGCGAATCCAAGGTCGCAGAAGTTTGTAGAGGTCGTTTACACGCCAGTTTCCTGCCCTTCGTGGGAAGTTTCGTTAAAAAAAAACCATCAAAACATCGTAGCCATGGCGAATGAAGATTATCAGTGAAATTTGGAACCCACCTTTGACGGGCTTGGGTCTACAGACGTCCTTTAAGAGCAGGCCTACCACCGGCTTTTTCGAGCTCAGGTCAGACACTGGTGACCTTGATGATTAATCCATTGGGTCTACAGAGCTCATTGGCAGCCCTTGTAGCTGCTGGAGGTCTGATCGCCTAGCTTGCAGGTAGATCGGGCATGGAGGTCGTGCCGTCACCACTAGTGTAGCCAGGTCAAGTTTTGGTCGAGCGGATGGTACCACCCTGCCGGTGGAGTTACGCCAATAGGTCACAGATAGTCACTTTGACAAAGAACAAGCTTAGTGATGATTGTTAAGTCCGTTGTCGCTAGATGCACGCGGCAACAAGTGTCGAACGCAGTAAATCCTACTACGACGACAAGAAGGGAGACAAAGGTCGAGTTTTCTAGCCGCACAGCACGAGGCTGCGGCCCAACATTGGAAAGAATGGCACAGCTTTTTCTAGAGTTACAAAACATGGTCAACGGAGAGCAAACTAAAAGAGATCAAGTGCATCCGGTTGCCCAAGAATGTGGTTGTTGATCTACCAATTGTGTTCATAGAGTTCAATATCACTTATGATGGGTCTTCCAAGCTGTCTCGACATCGAGGAGCTTTGAGAATATGGTTATTTTGCATGGTTACCACGATGTTGTGAGGTGTAGGGCGTTCTTGGCGACCTTGCGGGGAGGAGCTCAAGATTTGTTCCATCAAATCGCTCTAGGGTCGGTGAGGGATTTTGAGAATTTTGCAATCATTTTCCTCAACTAGTTTGCAAGCGCCAGGACGTAGCAGAAGACCCATCTTACATTTATGGCCATGAAATAGGAGCATGAAGAGACATTAGGGATTTATGTGGGTCTATATACTCGCGCTTGTGTAGAGGTTCTCTCGGCTTCAGAGGAAGTTAAGGCAAGAGGACTAACAAGAGGGTTGGAAGTTGAAATGTGTAGGAGCTAGCTAGCTAAGAAACTGGTGTTAAACTATGACGAAGTCTTGAGGAGGTGCAATAAATACATGAATATGGAAGAGGATGAGGCTGAGTTTGCCAAGATTGAATGAACAGCTCGACCAAAGGTAAAAAAGAAAAGAGGAATCTCTTGTTGGAGTATATTGTAGAAGCTCGGCTTTTTGATTACTCCCAAAACTACTTTGAATAAGATGTGTGTTTTTAGTTAAATGTATGTTCGTAGTTTATTTATTTATGCGAATATAGTCCATTTAGTTAACATTGTGGATAATATGTGATGGCGACGAGATCACCTTAACATATCTGGCAAAATACGATCGTCTGCGGGTCTAGAAGATATATCATTATTATTTATTTTTATATCTTTTTTATTTGTTTCCTTTAATTATTAGGAGAATATTTATTAATGCTTTTTTTATTATTTTAAAAAAAAAAAACTTTGCCTAGCAAGTTAAAGAATTAGATTAGGCCACAATAGGCGATGGGTTTTTTCATCGTTAATAAAGTGGAAAGTTCATGCATCAATGAAAAAAAAAAATGTATGCACATCCCTCCTATTATTCTATATATAATTCCCGAATGGCTGAGCCTACTTGACTGCTTCTGGTGCTTCGAAATCCTACTTGGCGAAGAATCATGCTTCGTAATTAGGTTTGGACAAATAATATTGTTATATTAATAATTAATAATCTAGGTTCGTGCATTCTATAAATATTCTTATATATAATTCCCGAATGCGCTGAGCCTACGTGGCTGCTTCTGGTGCTTCAGAATCCTACTTGACGAAGAATCATGCTTCGTAATTATGTTTGGACAAATAATATTGTTACATTAATAATTAATAATCTAGGTTCGTACATTCTATAAATATTAATTAGCTAACTTAGGTATTTTAATATCACTTGTAATAATATAACCCTTTGATTCTTTGTAATTTTACATAGTGCAACACTAAATGACTAATATATCCCTAACTTTTGATTTGTTTTCTTCAATTAGCTATTGAATGTAAATGTATTTTAAAAGTTGATAACTTTTATATTTCTTATCGGTTTTACATATATAATATATCAAATTAATCATCTTTTAATGATCTTCGATTTGACATCCACATTGTATATATGAAATAAATAAATTACATTTATCTTTATAATAATAAAAAGTAATAATATTTATTAAAATTCATTAGAAAAATAAAATTATTTCTTAATTGATATATTTATGTTTAATGTAGTTATATGTTGTGGTAATGGCCCTTTTTAACACTTTAGCAAAGGTAAAAATGAAATCTAGCCACTTTTTTTAAAAGAATGAAATATAGCCATTTTGCCTTGTGAAAATACATTATTGCCCTTGTATCCATTTTTCATTCTTTTCCCTTTTCCATTTTCCTTTTATTCCCTTTTTCTTCTCCACTTTTCCATTTACAGAGTGCTCTTATCCCCTTTTCATTTTATTCCCTTTTTTTTCTCCTCTTTTCTATTCTCACTCGTTTTCAAGGAGTGTTCTTATCCTCCACAGAGCCGCAACTCTCTTCTTCGGTGATTCAAGGTGCGTTTATTTATTTTGTTTTTTGTGTCTTTTAGGCAATTTTTATGGTTTTTTTAGTTAAAATGTATATTTTGAGTTCTTCTCCAACAATTGAAGGTGCGTTTTTTTATTTTTTATTTTGGGTTTTTTAATTAGGGCGATTTTTAGGGTTTTTTAGTTAAAATGTGTAATGTGCACCATGATGGAGTTATGTTGGTTACTTTCATATTTCTTCTCCTCTAAAGTTTTAGATCTTGAGACTGTGGAGTTTCAGGTTCTCAAACGGAGTGAGTTGTATGAGATAAGAGAAGTTGAGGTTCGAGTCTTGACTAAAGTACCACATTCAATCGATTTGTACCGCATTTAATCAATTTCAAAAAAAATTACTCCTTTCCTCATTTTCACGGTGCTATCTCATTCATTCCCGCAATTCACACGAGTCACAGCCCGTCGAGTGCTGCTTCAGGCGAGTCGTAGCCGTTGCTCTTCCCATTCCGACGAGTCAAAGCCGCTGCTCTTCCCAAGGTGCGGTTCCTTAACTTCAAATTTTTAGGGTTTTTTAGGATTTTTGATAAAGTGTTTATAAACAATATTTGGGAATTTGTTTTTGGATTAGGGCGTAGAATGTCACTGGAAATAAGTTAAAGCCTTAATTTAGGAATTTATGGTTTATTTGGTTTGTATATGTTGAAGGAATTCAGGTGTTCCATGGGCTGCTGAGTCCACTTGGGGTGTATTTGGTTTCTGTCTTATTCAAATATAATATAGATTGGAATTCTTTATACATTAAATGAGAAGAACAATTTAAACTGACTAGATAAACTTAAACACTAAATAAAAATTTTACATGCAAAGTTCCCCTTTTTTCTGTTTAGTAAACAATGGGGAATTGTGTTTTGGCCAAGGTGGTGTGCTGTTTAATGAGAACAATGGAGAATTGTGTTTTTACTTTCAACCAAATCTTGCTTGTGTGTTGTAGCCTATTTCAGGGAATATGTAATGTGGGAATCACTTTACATCAAAGGGGTCATCTTGTTACATTTTTTTTTTTTTTGTTCTTTCAGTATATTATCTTATTTTACATACATGGATTCATGTTTACATATTTTTGAAACTTGTGTAAATTAATACTTTTAATTAAATTGTAAATTGTGGAACATTGGGTTGTGATCTTTGAAGAATTTCATGTAATACAATCTGTCTAGGGTGTATTTGGTTTGTATCTGTAAGTTCGGGCAACCTAAACCATAATTTTTCAGTTATGTACCTAATCCACATAAGTTATGTCCTAATGTGAGAAGATATGACAATCAGGAAAACTGAAGAAATAGCTGAATATAGTTGTTGATGAGTAATGTTATATGGACAGTGTAATGAAATTGCACCCTCCACTTGAGAACCAAAAACAATATAAACTAGATATGTACAGATTAATCATAACAATAAATTCAACTGTATTTCAAATAATTGCAAGAAGAATGCTCCTTAACATTTACACAATAACCTATTCAAATTTGTTTTTGCACTTAACAAAGCTCTAGTTTTTTAGATCCAAATTCTGTCATGAAATGTATTGTTTTGTTTTTTT